CCTCGTGAGAATTATACACCTCGGTCTGGAGCAGAGTCTCCGTAGTAGTAGCGCCGTGTTGAGCCGTCTGTGGAGGGTGAAGTGGAGGTTGCAGCGGCTGCGGCCGGCTCAACTGTGGGTCGATCGCATGCGAGAACGTCTGCTGCTGCTGCTGCTGCGATTGGTTGAATGTAGGAGAAGGCTGGCCGTACTCTGACGCTCGAAAGATGGGCTCTTCAATGTGGGACAGGGTGCGCACGCGCTTGCCATCGCCGTTTTCAATTCCGTCTTCGAGTCTGCGTACGCCGCGACCACGACCCAGCCCGGGCAGGATCTCGGTGGAGGGGGTTCTCTTGCGACGCGTGGCGGAGAAGAAGCATTCCTGCCTTGTTCAGCATGGGGACCGTGTGAAGTACAGGGTGAGAAGTAACACCTTAGATTCTCGCCTACATCGAACGCAGGGAGGGTCGTGGGGAGCTTCAACCGAGCCGAGATCGCACCGGACCTTTCTCTGTCGACAGGGAATGCATCTGCGCAAACATCAGAGACGTAGAAGCTTTAAAGAGGAAGGGACAGACTGACGCCTGGTATGTGCGTTTATGGGCGGGTTGCGCCGGACGTGCGACACCTAAACAAGCAAGCAAGCAATCAATCGATATTCAGTCGCTTCGGGCTGCCGCGGACAAGCGCTGTGGCTATCCCTCGTACCTGTATGGGTGGCCACCGGCGAACCCTGAGTCTGCAGCGCCGACGACGACTGCTGGGTAGGAGAGTGTGGCGGTGGGGGCGGAGGCGCGACGGGAGCAGCACTCTGTTGAGTATACGACATCTGGGTCTGTGGCGTGACAGGGCAATATGCTGTCGTCGCTCCTCGCTGAGCTGAAACACGGACACACACCGATTACTACTGGCAAAGAAAGATTGCGTGGGCGCGGGTAGCGATGGCTTTGTGTCGGGGTTTCGGGACTATCAGTCGGATATGCGATATTCTTGCTTGTTGTGCGATGAAGCTGAGATGAGAGCGCTTTGTGACGGGAAGAGACGGGGGGAATTGGTGTGCCGACGAATACGCGCAGGCATTCAGCCAGTACTGCATGTGGTGGACGCGAACAGCAACATCGCGAGAATGCACAGCTTGGAGGGGGAATGTGTTTTGCAGCATTCTCAATTGCTATAGACGCGAGGCACAGTGTGGCCTGCGTGAGAGAGAGAGAGCGCATGCTGTCGATTGCCAGGACGCTCATTCATTCTCGTGGTTTGGCGAGGCTTGGCTGCGTGTGCGGCGATCAAACCACCTCCTCCTCCACCACCCACAGCCGGCATGGAAAGAACCAAGCAAACCAAGCGCAAAGCTCCCGAAGCTGTCGGCGTGCTGAGCGACAACGCTCCCGCGCCAAAGCAACCGCGCACTCAGCTCGGCGAAGACGACGCCGAGGACGACGATGAGCTTGGTCAGGAGGTAGCACCACCCCACCCACCCCCACTTAGCGCCCAGCAAACAGCTCTGACTGTCCGAACTACAGCTCGTCGACTCCACGCAAGCCCAGCGCGACGACGACTCCGAGCATCTCGAGCCATACGCAGTCCTGAATGGTCGATGCGTAGGCGTGCGTTACTACAACGGCATCGCAACGATAGGCGAACAGGTCCTCTTCCGCCGCGAACCCAACAACGCCTACGACCGCAACGCGATCCGTATCAACAATGTCAACGGCGTGCAGATCGGTCACGTCCCCAGGCATCTCGCCGCAAGACTCGCCCCCCTTCTCGACCGCCGCATTGCTGGACTCGAGGGCATCGTTGCTGGAAGGAAGGGCCAATTCGACATGCCGATCCGCTACGAAATCCTCTGTCCCTCGCGTGAACCCGATCGTTCCGCTGCAATCATGGTCATCAAGGCGGCTAGAATCCCCGGTGCCATTCTGTCGGAGGAATACAAGCGGATGGAGAAGCAGATGCGCGAGCGAGAGAAGGCGGCAAAGGAGGCGGAAAAGGCGAGAAGAAGGCTCAAGACGAAGGGAGGGGCGGCGGGACCCCGCGGAAAAGGTGCCGTCGAGGAGCCGATCGGTCAGGATGCAGAGTTTATGGGGTCACAAACTTCGTCACAGGAGGCGAGAGAGAATTGGGAGAATCTCACTGCGGGGGCACTGCAGATGATTAATCCGCGAGAGGTGAGCGAGCTGGTACAGAAGTTTGGTGCCAGCGAGGAGGATCTCCAAAAGATGGAAATGGCGACGCAGCCAGCGCGGTTGAAGACTCAGCTTCTGCCGTATCAACTTCAGGTGAGAAACCCCACTCACGTGATAGCGAGTGAGATGAGATGATCGCAACCACTGACTCAAGACAGGGCCTTGCCTGGCTCCTCCAACAAGAGCATCCCCAGCTTCCTACCGGCGATCAAGTCATTCAGTTGTGGAAGCTTTCTGGTCCCGGCAGGTACACGAATATCGCCACCAATTTTACTATCAATGAACCACCCCCGTTGGCCTCGGCTGGTTTGCTCGCAGATGACATGGGTTTGGGAAAGACCTTGCAGACCATTGCACTGATTGTTGCAGACGTCACGGCGGAGAAAAAGTTGGTTCCTGTTCCTAAGGTCGACGAGTCAACGTGTACTGGCGGAACCTTGATCGTTGCACCCGTCTCGGTGATGAGCAACTGGAGCGGCCAGATAGAGCAACACGTTTCATCAGACCACCCTCTGCAGGTCCTGCGATACCACGCCTCGGGCAAACAGGCCAAGCTGACCGACTACGATGTCGTCGTCACCAGCTACGGCACCCTCTCCTCCGACTATGGCGCGCGGAAGAAGGGACTCTTCGCAGTCAAATGGCGTCGCGTAGTGCTCGACGAGGCGCACCTGATCAGGAACCCGAAATCGAAGGCTTCACTGGCTGCTCATGGCCTTGACGCCGCCTCTCGCTGGGCGCTTTCCGGCACCCCCATTGTCAACAACCTCAAGGACCTTTACTCACTGATCCGCTTCATGCGCTACTCCGGTGGACTCGCGGAATTCGACATCTTCAACCGCACTCTGATCCGCCCTCTCAACCGCGGCGAGCTAGGCGCAAGCCAGCTTCTGCAGATCCTAATGGCAACCGTCTGTCTCCGCCGCCTCAAGGACATGAAATTCGTCGACCTCCGCCTTCCAGAGATGACCGAATTCCTCCACAAAGTCGAGTTCTGGCCAGAAGAGAAGGAGAAATACGACGTCCTCGAAATGGAGGCGAAGGGTTTACTCGCAAAATACCAGAAAGGAAAAAACACAAACGGCGCCGACGAGTACCGCTTCCTCCTGGAAATCCTCCTCCGCATGCGACAAATGTGCAACCACCAAACCCTCTGCGGAGACCGCCTCGAAAGCCTTATGAAACTCGCACACACGGACAAAGTCGACCTGACAGACGAGAACATCCGCGCCCTCCGAGACCTTCTCCAACTCGCCATCGACGCCCAAGAGGAATGCAGCATCTGTCTCGAAACCCTCCACAACCCCCGCATCACAATCTGTAAACACATCTTTGACCACGAATGTTCGTCCCTCCCCCCCCTCCCTCTACGCCCCCACTAACCCATCCCAGGTATCGAAAAAACAATCGACCTCCAACACAAATGCCCCATGTGTCGCTGTCCCCTCCCCGACCTCTTAACCTCCACCGTCTCCCCACCCCTCCCCACCGTCTCCCCCTCCTCCCCCCAGGGAGCAGGCTCATCCTCGAAAATCGAAGCCCTAATCACAATCCTCCTCGCGACACGCTCCAAATCCCCAGGAACAAAAACCGTCGTCTTCTCCCAATGGACCTCCTTCCTAACCCTCCTCGAACCATTCTTAGCCCAGAAAGGAATCACCTTCGCACGCATCGACGGGTCCATGAAACCCCCCAAGCGCGACGAAAGTATCGCACGCTTCTCTGGTCCCGATTGCGAAGTCCTCCTTGCTTCTTTAGCTGTTGCCAACGTTGGCCTCAACCTCGTCATGGCGAGTCAGGTAGTGCTAGCGGACTCTTGGTGGGCTCCGGCGGTGGAAGATCAAGCTGTTCGTTCTCTCCCCCACCCCCCCAGTTTGTAGGAAAAAAACTAACGGGGGTAGATTGATCGCGTGTATAGACTGGGACAGAAGAAACCGGTGACGGTGTGGAGGATTGTCGTGGAGGGCAGTATTGAAGGACGGGTGTTGGGGATTCAGGAGGAGAAGAGGAGGATTGTTGCGGATGCTTTTAGGGAGGGGAAGGGGAAAAGGGGAAGGAAGACGAGGGAGGAGAGGGGTAGGGAGGTGGGGGTGTTGTTGGGGGGCGGGGATTAGAGGGGGAGGAAGTGGTTGAAAGTGCACCAACCAATTTGGGTGATACACGTTTGGTGGGTGTGATCTTAGGGAGTGCGATACTACTACATACGATTTGAGGGGTAAACTTTGTGTGCTTTTTGATTTTTGATTCGCAGGCGGAGGGGATTTGGAGGCGCTATATTTTAGGTGTGTTAGGTGCATTGCGAAGGGAGTATTATTATTATCTTTGGTGTGCGTTCATAGTTCTTCATAGTTCTTCATATACTCGGGTCATACATAGGTTGAAGTTTTATACACACTTTCAAGCACTCATCGTTCATTCATTCATCCGCAAAGAGATCCTTCGAATCCGTTTCTATATCGCTCATATTGAGTGCAGTTCTATCTCATCCGGCAGAAAACTCCTATAACACTTGAAGTCTTTAACCCACCGTGTTCTTATTCCTCCTTTGCAATCACCCCACAGATTTCAAAGCCTTCAAACCTCCATATCTCTTTACTGATGCTCAATCGCGTGTTTACACAATCAACAGCTAGCTAGCCTGTGCCGTCCAGCTCTTGTGACTTCGATCATTTCACGGCCACGAGAAGGCAACTATTCTACCCACGTCCCAGGTTAGATACTTGCTAAGAATTCGGAGTTACGGTCTCTCTCCACCATGTCCGCGTACGAAGAAAAGATAACAAGGATGTGGCTAATTTCCAGCCAGCGAACCGAAAAGGAAAAAAAGAAACATTCCATTACGGGGAATCGAACCCCGGTATGGCCGGTATTATGTGCTCTTACTCTGAATGAGAGCGGCCGATGCTAGCCACTACGGGTGATGGGTTGTGATTGACTCTTGCATTTACGTTCCTGCTTTTTTCGTGGGATGAGAGGCGTACGAGGATATGAAGTTCACTGTGATATATTGTGGTGGCGTGAATGGGTTGTTCGATAATCAAGTCTGTGAGCGTCGATGAAATGCCTCCGAGGAAAAATTATGAATATGGCTCGTCTGGGCTTAGACCTGTATGTCGGTCATTGGAGTTAGCCCGGTGAACGGGCCAGAGGAATGTCCAAACATCCTTTAGCGAACAGGATAAACTTTATTTTGCAATCAGTCACCTTCTGCATTATCTATCTACACATTATTTAATGTTTGGAAAAGTGAAATTACTCTGTAACCCTATAGAACTGTGGGCGTTCTTGACAGTTACAGAGGAGTTGGCAGCATGCGTGCAAAATTGCTGGTGTAGATACTGGTCATTGCTGGTGTCACTGCTGGCAACCTCCGACATATACATACCCCTATATTGGGGAAGAGAAAGTCTTGGCGAAAACAGAAACGGCGAAATAAGTCAACAACCACGATAGTAATCGACAAACGGACACCGGCAATCGACTTTTAGCATCGAATTGACCCTGGAGCGGCACTCCCAGCATCTCTGGACCGCCAGAGGAGGTTGGAAACTCACAGCAGCGGAGCACGCACGCAATAGACGCGACGCGACAACCGAAGACCCAGCGACGATGGCGACCACGAGAGGAGAGAGCCCTACTGGAGGCACAAGCGAGAAGCTAGCGAGTGTGGAAGTTAGGGATATGAAGATGGGACAAGTAGGACAGACGAATGGATCAGTGGGCGACGCGTCGGGAGAGGCACACATCATCACAGAAGGCATGACCCTGAACGAGCCTCCGATGCGAAACGAGAATGGGAAACAGTTGAGAAGTGAGACTCCGGAGTCCCCGAGCGCGCCGGGGGACTGGAGAAGCCGGATGGAGAGAACGATCAGGCAGCAGACACGTGAAGTAGTGTAGCTGCACCGAACTGTCGAGAATTTAGTAAAAGCACTGGAGGCACATGCAGCGCGCGAGGAGGTGCAATAGATTGGCATGAAAGCGTGGTTAGAAGAGAGAGAGAGCAAGTGGGATGCCCACCATGAGGACGACGTACTGTGGGGGACGGGCATCACAAACATGGTCACAAAGGTTCTGGTGGAAACGGCACCAGGCCAGAAGAAACGAGAGGCCGACAACAGACTGGAGGCCTCGAAACACACAGGTACACACATGATAGAGACGAAGAAGCGACAAGCTGAACTGCAACCGAAATCGCAGCAGTAGCCAACCATGCCGACCCCAATCTCGGCCTCGACCTCGACCCCAACTCCGACCCCAACTCCGGCGCCGGCACCAACAGCGAAGCCAACACCGCCGAGACGGTGGGAGACAGTCTCACCGTGTAACGAGCACAAAGCTGCGACAGCCAAGGCCATCACGTCTGAGAGAGCGATCACGAATAGGCCAGCCCCAGCCCCAGCCCCTACAAATGGCTTGAGCATGGCAGACAGGTGCCTGATCCTAAGAAGAGACGAGAGCGTCCCCCTGCCCAACAAGATAGAGGAAGAAGTCGCATCCGCAATCAACAGGGTGCTGTTCCGGCAGCAAGCCCCAGTCCACATCCGAATCATGAACACACGGAGAAATGCCAAGGGTGCAATAACCGCGGTCACGCACCAGAACGCCACGGCGGAGATGGCACTTTTGTACCGAGACGTCATTATCAACGCAGCAAGGTCGGTCGACAAAGGGATCATTGATATGGAGGGGAACGAATCGTGGCAGAGACTGAAGATCCACACTGTTCCGCTGGTGAGGTACATGGGCAGAGGCACCGAAGGCCTACAAAAGATGAGAGAAGAAATCCAGGCGGAGAACGAAGGAGTCATGGTCCCTGCACAAGTGAGATGGCTATCTAACCCTTGCTCGATCAGGGAGAGACAGCAAAATGGAGAGATAAAGGCATCATCGGTGGTCTTTATTGTGAAGGGGACGAAAGTAGCCAAGAGACTAGTTGAGAAAGGGGTCATCGCTGCAGGAGTAAGATACAAGGTCGAACCGTACACGAGTGTGGGCCCGGACAGCATGTGCGAGCTTTGCTGCGGGTGGGGCCATATTGAGAGCAAGTGCAGCGGCAGTCAGCCCAGGTGTGGCTACTGCTCAGGGCCGCACTGGACAAGCGAGCATCAGTGCAACATTGTGGGATGCACGTCACAAAAAGGCGCACTCTGCAGTCACACCCAAGAGAAATGCCCGAACTGCAAAGGGACCCATATCGCATTCAGTGGAAGGTGTGCAAAGAAGACCGAAGCTTTCAAAGCGGCCCGAGACAGTGGAAGAAGACAACCGGCCGAGTATCGAATGGGAGGAGCCACAGGGGCGAACACAGTGGCACTCGGCACCAGGCAGACGACGGATACCAGAGGCCAAGAAGGGGAGCCCCCGCTTGCGGAGGTGGAAAGACCCAGGGAGAAGGAGGGGGCGGAGGAAGAGAGGGATGTGACCATGGCCGAGACCGCAGTAGAGGTCGAAATGGGAGCCACAGCTTCCAATGATTAGAGCAATTCAGCACAACTGCACCAGGTCTTATGTTGTAAGGGTGTACATCCGTGTACGGCCTTGTATAAGAGTATAAGGGTGTAGATACGGTTGCACACGTGGATTCGAGAATAAGATAGATGGGTTCAATAGGTAAGGTTATCGATGGCGTGCAAGGGCACTCGCACGAGCTGACTATATACTGGGTGGATGTGCGGTTACCCAGCCGCCATTACATATGTGTGGACCATGGCTGCGCTAGAGACGGGAGTCGAACGGAGAGCAGATGTGATATGTTTCTAAGAGCCGCCGGACGAAAGAGGAGGAATCGGAATCAACCACCCGGGGTACGAAATTAGAAAAAGAAAGAGAGTCTGGACGGCGGTGCACAAGGGGAGCGGCCTTGCAGCCGACAAACGGACAGACTTGAGCAGGGGTGCAAACAACGATGTGATTGTGGTCGACGTCAAAAGAAGAGGGGAGAAGATGACGAGGATCATAAATGTTTACGACCAGAAGGATGTGCAGACGGGAGAAAGACCAGCGAGAAAGTTAAACTGGCCGAGTATCATTCGACTGGGGGGCAGCACGGTGCTTGCAGGCGACTTTAACGCCCACAGTCAGCGCTGAGACCCGAGGTGCACGGAACGGAGGGATGCCATGTACTGGGAGGAGATCATAGACACGCATGAGATGGAGATCGGGAATGACGGGCGGCCCACTCACTACTGGGTGAGAAACGGCAGTGAGGGCGCATCCGTTATAGACCTAACCCTGGCCAATCGACCAATTGCGAAATGGTCGATCTTTGAGGAGGAGAACCATGCCACAGGCTCTGACCACGAGGTGATAGAATGGGAGGTGGAAGTGAAAAAGCAGGAAGAAGCAGGTGGAACACAAGTCATAGGGTGGAATCTCGCTGCTATGTCGGAGGAGGATGAGAAGGCGGCGGAGAAAGTGTGGAAGGAACTGGAGAAGGAGAGAGCCCCTCTAGACGACGAGGGTTGCACCGGGGATGAGGTCGAGTGGGAGGCAGAATGGTACCAAGAGGCACTGAGCAAAGTGCTGGACGCCACGGCGAAGAAAATAAGGATTTGCGCTCGATCTAAGAGATGGTGGAACGGTGAGATTAAGGAGAAGAGAACAGAGGTGGCTGCGCGGGCGAAAGCAGACCTGCAAAAGTCGATTTGGCAGTCTAAGAGCCGGATGTGGAACGACTACTTACAGAACCTAAGAGGTGGTGAAGTTTGGAGGGCTGCGAATTTCGTCAGCCCTCGTGCGGGGGCAACCATGGAGGCTTTGACTGATAGAGAGGGAAAGCAAGCAAGCTCTATCAGAGAAAAGGAGGAGATGCTCAGACGGGAGTCCTTTCCCCCGAACGACGACGATTAGTACTACGAACTTCCCCCTGCAGGGCGAGCACACGAACGGGTTACAGAGCAAGCAGTCGAACGAGCCCTCTTCTCACAGTCGGTCAAGAAGGCCCCAGGCCCAGACAAGTTGTCTTTCGGTGCCATCCGCCTTCTCTGGAAGTGGAACAGAGCGAGAATCGTGGGATTAACCAGGGCGGCCCTCCGGACCGGTTGGCACGCAGCTGTGTGGAAGCATGCGAGTGGGGTCGTTATCCGAAAGCCAGGAAAAGACGACTACACCAAGCTCAAGTCGTACCGTACGATCTCCTGGCTCAGCTGCATGGGCAAAGTGGTTGAAAATGTGGTTGCCGAGTTATTGTCCGAGGAAGCAGAAAGGAGAGAACTACTAAGCGAGGGCCAGTTCGGTAGTAGAAAGAGATGGTCAGCCATCGACGCTGAAGCCATCATGGTCGACAGGGCGCACAAGGCATGAACAGAAGGTGACATCGCGGGCGTCCTCCTGATGGATATTAAAGCAGCATTCTCAAGCGTAGCAAAAGGGAGGCTGATTCACGCAATGAAGGCCACGCGGATAGATGGAGACCTCATACGATGGACTGAAAGTTTTCTCTCCGAAAGAACGGTGCAGATGGTGATCGAGGGCAACGCCATGCAGAGCCACCCGGTGGAAGCAGGGGTCCCGCAAGGCTCTCCTGTGTCGCCAATTCTCTTCGCAATTTACACCGCCGGGCTGATAGAATGGGTGGAAGAGAGAGTCCAAGGAGTCGAAGGCCTCTCTTTCGTGGATGACCTCTGGTGGGGGACGTGAACCAGGTGGTTAAGAAACTGGAAGCCTGTGCGGCGGAAAGCATTGAATGGGCCGCTAAATGGGATCTTCAATTTGACACTGCTAAGACAGAAGCAGCGCTCTTCACACGCAAGCGAGGACACAAGAAGCACCTCTGGCCGAAACTCACAGCCAAAATCAGGGTAGGAAGCGGCGTCATTCGGTTCAACAAAGAAGCGACAAGGTGGCTTGGAGTCCGGATGGATGCGCACCTGACGTTCAGAGAGCACCACAACCGCTGGCTAAAGAACGCCAGAGCTGCAGAA